GGACAGTGGAATGAATTGGGCATAATTTTTCTATGTTCATATATTAATACAGCACCAGAGAAACTTCATATCATGTACAACCACAAGAATGGATCCTAATTAGAATAAGTTATACTTCATGTGTTTATATGTATTTTTTTAATTTGTTCTTTGTAGATATACATGACAGTAGAATGTACTTTTGACATACACACATGGAGTATAACTTGCCATTCTTGTGGTTACTCCATGTATGTATGTCAAAATATACCCTACTGTCATGTAAATCTGATCTGAAAAGAACAAATAAAAAAATGAAACTAACTCACAGATAGTATTGTGTGAAGAAAATTTTTATTACTGTTATTTTTGGTGTTTTTTATTAAACAATGTGAGAAGCTTACCAACAAAGGTGAAATATTGGGGCTGGGGATGTGGCTCAAGCGGTAGCGCGCTTGCCTGGCATGCATGCGGCCCAGGTTTGATCCTCAGCACCACATACCAAAAAAGATGTTGTGTCCGCCGAGAACTAAAAATAAATATTAAAAATTCTCTCTCTCTCTCTCCTGTCTCACTCTCTCTTTAAAAAAAAAAAAGGTGAAATATTTTCCATTTTAATAAATCCTGTTAGCAAGTCTTTCTACTTAGAAAACAAGTATTTTTAATTTTTATTTAATATTTATTTAGAAATATTAGAAAATTATGAACAATGTGTTATCGTTCCTTTGGATCTTCAGGCACATTTCCCATGTTGTTCTTTTGTCATTAGATTGACATTTGAATAAGCTAGATGAATCCGTTTAATCCCAAGGTTGGCCCTTTAAGAAAATGGAGAAAAGAAAGCCCTTCCTTTGGGGCTGAAAAGGAGGTAATGTAATCTCTGGACCTAAATATCATTTTTCTCTTTCTTTGGCCATGGCACTTGGCATACAGGTTAATGATAATATTTTTTTTTTATATTAAAAGAATAATATTCAACCATTCACAGAGTGGGAGTGGGTAGACAATAACTAACATCAGAATTTTAGAAGTAGGTGAATAAGAAGAGATCTACATATTTGTTAAAAGAGAACATGAAATTAAGGAGTATTCAAAATTGGTTTGGGAGTCTGTGAGCAAAAAAATAAAATTAGAACATAGTTTTACATCTTTTATACAGTAATTACAAGTGAATTAAAGACATAAAAATTATAATGTGATGAGAAAAAGAAAAAAAGTGTGTCACATTAGATTGGATAGAGAGAAATGATGGGAGGGGAGGGGAGGAGTAGGATGATTGCTGTATGTATATAGGTGACTCTATGACCAGTGTGATTCTGCAATCTGTACAATCAGAAAAATGAGAAATTATACCCCAATGATTCAAATATATGAATTGCCAAGATCATTGTAATGTCACATGTAGCTAATAAAAAATTATATAAAATATTTCAATGGATTATAATATTTGTAAATTCTTTGGAACCCCTCTTAAGCATAATGAGGATCCAAAAAGCCATGTATGAAGATAAAATTGATTTTATAAATATATTCATATGAAAAAACAACATCATTTAAATAAAAAGAAAATGACAGTCTGAAACATAATGATCATACACATAAAATAATTTTTCTTTGTACACATTTATTACAGTAAATAAATGAAAGGCATATTCAGCATATTATGGATAAAACAACCAATATTCTGGAAAATAAGCAGAATATACATAACCACTTTATGGTAAAAGAAATGCAGACCATATATTTATAAAATAACTCAGAGATATAATTTTGTTAACTGGCCTAGGATCACATAGCTCGAAAGTAATAGATGTACTGTTTAAACATATGTAATTTTGCTTGAGTCCACCCTCTTATAGTAATCATTTAACATTTTCACCAGTCTGATGGGGAAAAGAATATTTTATTGTCGCTTTAATTTTCTTGCTTCTTTATTATTGTAGCTGTTCAGTGTGTGTGTGTGTGTACATGTATGTGTGTGTGTGTGTATGTGTGTGCGCGCGCACGCATGCGCGATCCTAGGCCAGTTAACAAAATTTTATCTCTTGAGTTATTTTCTTCATCTATAAAAATGGAGATGATAATGGTTCTTATAGTAAGGAAACAGTTTCTGGCACATAGTAAATCTTCTGATATAAGTCCTATAAAACACGAACAAGTATCTACATTTGAAAATGTGCTTGAGTAAGGAAAAGAAAATATATAGAAGGGGAGGCATCAAGTTTTTATAATAATTACATTCAGGCAAAGAGGAGGGTAGGATGAAAAGGAACCTGCTAATTTCACATCATCATTATCATAATCATTTTAGTTTTTAACAATGTTAGGACATATATTTCTCAATATTATTCGAAAGTGAATCCAGCAGTATTTTTTTAAATCATAAATTTCCATCATCTTTGGGCCTTTGGTCTCATATTTTGGAATTTATATGAAGAACTAAAACTTACTCTGAGAAAGAGACTCCACCAAATTTATTTGTTTCTGTGTTGTTTGTGGCAAGTAGCAAAACTTCACATCACTTTAAGGTCTGTCAATAGAGAAATAATATGATGCAGCTACAGAAATGGAAATGTAAATTTTTATGTAAATACTTCAAAGAATGTCCATGATGTTTTGTTAAGTGAATTAAGCTGGTTATATAAAAATATATGGGATAGTGTGATCCCATGTTTTTACAAAATGCAAACAACTATTTACATGTGAATACACGTTTGTGTAAATAAAAGAAAAAATGTGGAAAGGGAGGCATCAAGCTTTTCACAATAATCAGAGGATGGTAAGTTAGGATGAAAGGGAGCCTTTGGATTTTACTTTAGGCACTTTCTGATTTTTTGGAGTTGAATATCAATTCCATGAGGACATAGCTTTATATGCTTTACTCCTGTTGTATTTGCAGTATCCAGAAATAAATATTTCAAATGAATAATGAATCAAGGAATAAATCATCATAAGTGTATGCAAACTTTTGTAAAATGAACTATGTCTCTGTATTTTTTTAAGACATTAGTAATGTAAAAGCACATGCTGCTATTGTAGACATGGCTCTCATCAAAAACATTAACCAATCTATGACTTCTGAGACTACTTCCTCATCTCTCACATGTCCTTTTTTACTCTATTCTGAGATAAAATATAAACACTTTTTCAAGTAAGGTTTTACTATATTTCCAATGAGAATTTAGTGATAAAATTATGCATAAATCATTTAATAAATGAACCACAACTATGGCAAATAAGCTACTAATTTTAAATTCATTCATAATTCTAATTAATAAAGGACAAACAGTTTAATGATCTTCCCCCCATATATATGTATGGGTGTGTGTGTGTGTGTGTGTGTATTTCATTTCATTATAGGAACCTGATATATCTTCTTATTCATTCTTCATTCTGTGGTAGTATTTCCTAATTTGGATCTCACATTAATTCCATCATCTTCCCACCCTTTATAGATAGAATAACTGAAATTCTATAAAGTAATGTGTTCAAAGTCTAACAGGTGTTACCTGTGCTTCAGAGCATTCTCAATAGTGTATTATAGAAGCTTATCAATAAGGCTATTGTAATTCTTCGTTTAGAGGTCAAGAAAGGATATGTGCTGTGTAGCATCATATGACTTAAAAATGCTATTTTAATTTTTATTTTGTTAAGATGATATACAATAAAACTAAAATAACAATTTAAATAGTTCGGGGTGGGGGACTAACCTGAAGTGTTGTTTTTTAATTCATAGAATGTGCAAATATACCAAATTGTTCAACTTGATATTTGATACAGTTCAATCATATTTAATGGAATTTAAAATATATTTTTACAAAAAATATGTTTATTATAGTAAGATAAAATTTTGTGAAACATATGCATTTTTTTGTTACAGTTATGGACTTAAGCTGTGAGAATTCACCTACTAAGAGTGGCATATATGAGAGATCTTTTTACATATATTCTGAAAGAAAACTTCTTAATATTTTGAAATATTCTTGAAGAAAAGAAGCATGATCTCTATACACTGAGATTGTAATATTTTTTAATTTGTGGAGGCCATTTTTGTTCTTATTACAGTATTTGCCTTTCCTGTTTTAGACAAAAGGAAGTCTGAAAGAAGCTTTTCTTTACTTTCTGACAATAAAACAATACCTGAGTAGTGTAGGTAGCAATTGGACACCAAATGCAACTCTTTCAAAAACTCTACTTTTCATCTAACACTGCATTCTATTTAAGGACAATGACTCTTCAGAATGTGAGGAAGCAATCCATTTACATAAATATTTGTAGATATTTGTAAATTAACATTCAAAATGGAACTAATGTTTAGGAATTACTAAAAACATTCACCCCCCCTCTCATACACACACACACACACACACACACACACACACACACACACACCCCATGTAGAGAGAAATAGAGAAATTAGGAGAATTATATTTTAATACAGGGCTAAAGCTTAATGTTTTTAATATAAAAATAATAATATAACTCAGTTTAGAATCAACAATAAAGAACAATCTTGATTGTAAAATTAGTTAGCAATATTTCCATGATTGAAACTTAAATATGAGGCATTTAGGTCAAGGTAAATAACATTTTAAACATTCTGATACTTTCCCACTACAGAAATTACTCAATAATTGCTTTGAGAATTTAACAACTCAGACATTCCTTATGAACTTTTAAGTGCTAAATTATGAGTTTACAAAAACTTTATTTTTTTGATATCTTTCTTTTGGGTATGTACGATATTTATTTTTGAGTTGTTAATCCGTTTCATTTTTGTAGAGTGCATGAAGCAAGGTGTGAACATACATATATACATATATATGGCTTTAAAACTATTCAGATCACAAGTAGGAGAAACCTTGACTCTCTTAAACATCTGATTCATTGATTGTGGTTTTCTTCTAATATAGATTTTAGGAGGCATATGTATCTGCCTGTGGGGGATGTGTTTGTGTGTGTTTAAAGGGAGTTTGGGAGAGACAAAGATGGGTATTCACTTGTTTTTCTTTCCCTATTAGGACTCAGGGAAAAACGCATGTTTATTCCTGAAAGAAGAGTCCGAAGAGTGCTCTTGTAAGTTCAGGTATGTAAAGCCCTGAAGGGCTCTCTTCCAAACTGGAGGCTTATATCAAAATGTTATTTAAGGTTTTCATCTCAACCCCCTGTCTTATACTATTCCATTATCACATTGACAATTTCTCCATTATGGAAACCTGACCTTGATGAATGCTGAATGCTTGGTGTGACATTGTTCTGGGGTAACTTCACCAGAGCAATTAAATTTGCTAAGTTGTTCTGCTACAAGGGACTCAGTCTCTACTATCACAATATAGTGGTTAGACTATTTAATGAAATTCCAGTTTTATGCTAAACTTTTAAAGAAATTTTATTTTTTTATAGATGTGTTTTCACTATCATGAAAATCAGATGAATATTGTGAAATGAATATTGGACTAGGGGTCATATATATCCCAAGAGCAGGATTAAGTCATGATTTTGTCTTCTGAGGTGGGGTGTAGGGCAAGAACTACCTGATGCATGTCCGTCCTATCAGAGATCATCATAGTAGTAGCCAATTGGAGGCATTGGGGCAAAGCAGTTAATACTATGACTCCAGAGTCAGACTTTCTTAATTAAAATCCTGGTTATGCCACTTAAAAGTAGTTTAATCTTGAACAACTTACTTTACTTCTTTGTCCTTTGTTTCCTCACTGTAAAATGGAAATAACATTAGCACCACATAGGCAACAAGTTCTCCTGTGTACAAAGCCATCTTTTTGTCCACAACACCATACTTAGATACCCTGAAGTGAAAACTCATTGAAACTGACAAAGTAATATGAATTAAAAACTTCTGCAAAATGAGAAAAACTTTTAATGATCAGAGTAATAAATCAGTGTAAAAAGCATTTTGTAAAATGTATTTGCCAACTCTCTGAGGTAAGCTGGCTATTTCAAAGGAGATCTTGCTTTAAACTTATTTTTAAAACAAAAGAAAACAAAAATGTTGAGTATCTATCAAGCCACAGCAGGCAGGAAATGCCAAAGATGTTGACCTTCCTCTGGAAACATGTGACTTCCATTGTTGGCAGTGTAAATCTGGGAACCTGTATAGGAAGGACATGAGCAAATATTAGTTATCATGAAGCTCCATAAGTGTCCAGGCTTAAATCATGTGAGAGTTCATAGAGTTGTGTCATTAAGTTGTAGACATTATAAATTATCTTGTAGAGAAAAGATGTTTTCTTTAATTTTTAAAATCTACCCACCTACTGAAGCTAAGTTCTAGGGAGATCTAAGGTAAAATAAACAATAAAAATACTTGTGTTTCTCTAACCATAGTATGTCAGAAACCTCTGAATGATTCCATCAAATAAGAAAAGAAAATGTTAGTTTAAAAATTTAGAACAAAACAAAACTTAAACAGATTTTTGACTGATGAAACAGCTTAAGTGTATCTTTCAACTTTTTTTCCTTAGTGCTGGGGATTGAACCTAGGTTTTTGTGTATGTGAGGCAAACACTCTACCAACTGAGCTATCTATATTCCCAGCCCATCAACTTTTAAAACTGTGAGCATAGACTATCCTTATGAAATATTTTGATGATATCTTTTGGTCATGACAGGCCCCTCTCCTAGGTGACTGCATCTATTCTCTTAGTTTTAAGTGTTTACATGCTGAAGATATTCAGGTCTCTAGTTTCAGATCTAACTTATTATGACTTGTATGTACCTATCTATTAGGTGATTCGTAGTCATCTTAAATTTGTCTATGCTGGTACTTAATTTTTCCTATTTCTGATTTTCTTTCTCATTATAGCGAAAGGCACCAAAAATCAACCTTGTTGACCAAGATGGAAAACAAGAAGGCTTTCTTGATAACTTTTGTTTCTTCACTCTGCTGGTCACATATAATTCATCATAAAGCATTGTGGATTTTCCCTCTAAAATATATTCTTTATTCTGGCCACTAAGTTTTGTCTCTACTGCTTCCAGCATAAGCTTACCCACTATCATTTCTAGCCTGGCCTATTTATAGTCTCTTCTATGGTTTCTTGATTCTGTGCTTCTATTACTGACCTTCCCTGGTTCATTTTCTAAATAGTAGAGAGATATTTTAAAAGATTAAATCAGATCAATTCAGTACTCTAATTTTTTATATTGCAATTAGAATAAAATTCAAACTCCTTATTGAGGCCTACAAAGTTGTGCTTAATGTGTTTTCTTCTTATTTGTTAACCTCATTTTATACCACTCCTCCTTTTTCTTCCCATGTCCTATCTTTCTTTCACTTCCCTGAATACATCAAGCTTACTCCTCCTTAGGGCCTTTGACAATGCCCTTTCTTTTATTTTCATCTGTTGCTGCTTCACAAGATACAATTAACTCTTTTGAAACTCTTGTCTCAGCTTACATTTTACTTCTTTAATGATGCCTTTGCTCACCATCCTATCTAAATTAACCTCTACTCATTATTTTCTATCCTGACATCTTGTTTACTTTCTTCATAGTATAACCTGTAGCCATCTTTAAGGAATTTGACATATCTTTCCTGTGCACATATATGAATACAACACAGAGACTCTCACAATTGTGTATATCTACAAGACTGGGGTCCTAATTAGAATAAGATATTTTCCATGCTTTTTAAATTATATCAAAATGGATTAGCCTGTTATATATAACTAAAAATAACCAATAAAATAAAAATCTCAAATTATTTATTTACTATTCATCTTCTCTACTACAATGTGACTTAAACATTTGAGAGCAGGGGATATGTCTGAATCACTGATGAGTCCCTAGTATTTAGTACAGTAGTTCATACAAGTAGACTATATTATAAATGATTATTTGTTGAGTGAATATATTGCAATTCATATCAGGTCTAAGCATTCCCAGAAGCTTCTTGGGAGAAAATTAACTGTCCCCAAATAATACACTGCTTTGGAGATGGAAATGATTACCTGTAACTGAATTGCATGGATTGCCAAAGTCACATAATTCACCAAAGATCTAGAAAAAGTTGTGAGGGATGACCTTGTGTCAACAGCTATACTGATATGCTACCACAATTTATGGGAGTGCATAATAAGCTTCAATTAATTAGTCTTTGCTTCTTTTGATTGGAATATACTTGAGGATATGCTTCTCTTCTCTAGAACCTATAAGTCACAGCCTTGTGCATTACAGATGCCCAGTAATGGTCAGTTATTATCCTTTGCCATTTGGCATCAGCTAAAATGAGGGATGGGAGAACTAAGAAGAATAAATGTTCAGCATGTATATGAATACTGTTATACTATTATTCCATGGAAAATAAACCCAAATGAAAGCCCCAGAGAACAGAGCATGTATAGGGAGACTGAATAATAATATTGGTGAAATATATATCTATATTTTGAACTTTCTTATTAAAGAACATTTCAAAGCCAACATGAAAAGAGTTGCAAGGAATATAATGTTCTCCATCTTCTGTCAGTTATCAAATTCATTCTTAGTGAAAATAAGAATTCAGTGACTGCAAAGTATAACTAGTCAAAGCAATATTTATATCTTCAGATAAGATGGAGTCAGAGCACATATTTTGCAAATAGCTCTATAGAGTGCAATCAAACCTTGGTATATGGACTAGGGCTAGTTACTCTCCTCCAGAAATCAAGTTAAAGTGAATAATAAGTACAGCTGAAGAAGTAGGACTAGTGGAATGAGTTGTGAATAGAGGAGATATGTTATGAACTGATTGATGGTAAATTTCAGAAGCTAGTGCTTATTTAAAAAATTTTAGGCAAATACTTTTTCTATTAATTTTTTTCCTCCACCATTGCCCAGTTATGTATTTTACCTTTTAAATACAAATTATCATTTCTGTCACCTATTACTGTGGACTTTTTAATACCAAAGTTTTTGTACTTTCCAAAGAATTTTCATATATACATATTCAGTCCTCAATGAGACTAAGAATTTGCCAGGACTGGTATCATTATTTCCACTTTACAGAAAAAAAAATGTTTAGAAAGGTTTAATGACTGTTTTAGAGTTATACAGCTAGGTAGCCCCTAAATGTATAGCTCAGATTGGAGTATTTTAAATTATTCCCATTGTGCACTTGCTCTTTCTTTCTCCCTCTCTTTTTCCTTTACCACACTCAGCTATTTTTATATGGTGAGATAATTGAATACTTCTAGGTGTTAAGGTACGACACTGAAAAAAAAAATCAAACACCCTCTCTAGAAACTGTCACTGCATGTTGATCATTATGGTTCTTTCAGGTCTTATATTCTATCAATCTATGAACTTACCAAAGTCTTAATATGTACTGTATGTTTTGTGTATTCTGGAAGATTTGTCCCACATATATGTTCTATGATTAGAGATACAACTCATAGTTTAATGAAAGATTTTTAGCAAAGTTAATTTGGATTTTACTTTTTTAAATTTGATGACATTGGTATAAATATTGTGAAAATTGATGGTCTTTATAGTAGCTCAAAAGTAAATTTACTTATTATGATGAATTGATAGAGGCAGTTCAAATATTATAATGTATAAGATGAAATTTTAATTCATGTAGAGCTTCCTACTCTGAAGAATTAACACAGCCAAGTGTTTATATTTCCAAAATGATAGTTATTAAATTGATATATGTGCACAAACATATTAAAGTCTCTTGGTGGGAATTAAATCCAGATACCATATTTTACATTATGAGCAATGTCAATTTTGCTAGTAATATGGTATAGCAGTTTACTTATTATTGAAATCTGTATAGGTATTTTTGGCAGTTTAAACCCTATTATAATGCATTAGTATGATTTCAAATTATTAACATAGTTCCTTTTCACAATGTATATAGTCTGAACAGTTAGCTATAATTTTTATTAGTGTTATGCTATTGTTACCCTAGTCTATTTCTGTGTTAACTAATAAAGATAAAAAATTTGAGAACATCTAAAATGGCAATGAAAATTTTAGGGAGAATCAAATGATATTTCTTTTTTTAAAAAGATATTTATTTATTTTTTAGTTATTGGCGGACACAACATCTTTGTTTGTATGTGGTGCTGGAGGATCGAACCCGGG